GCTACATGACGTGCACTCCGCTTCGAGGGACCTGCCGTTTGACCAATCAGGACCTGCTGAAGGATCGCAGCCGCGTACTTGTCGTTCCTGATCGTCCTACAACCCCGCCTCGCGTACGAGCGCTCCGCTCGCAGAAATCAGAATGTTCCGTATCGGAATTTTCGAAATCCGACCCGTCGGCGGCTGCGCGAGATGAACCGCACCGCGCGATACATTTCGCGCGTTTACGGCGCAACATGAAATCGTACTACCGTCCGTTTCCGCCCTCGTTACGGGCCGCGCGCGGACGCGTCATATTTCATCCCTCGTCGAGAAAAAAAATTTCGAATTGTGCGCCGCGTCCTCTTTTATCCCCCGCTTTCTCGCGCGTGGCCACGGGGCACGCCGGGGAATTGCGCAAAACAATATTGACAGATGAAACGTTCGCCCTCGATTCTCACTCGATAACTGGCGCGGATTTATTGGCCGTGTGCGCGTGGACGGCGCGTATCGTTCGCGCCGCGGATAAAATATTCGCCGTTCCGGCGGCTCGTCGTGCGAAGGGGTGAAAAAAAGCCGCAAATTGCACCACGGGCATTCATCATCGCGCCCCGTGCATCCTCCCGCCGTTACATATTACCGGCGCTCGACGGCGGCACTCGACCTGGCCGTTTTGCGGTCGATCTAACGATTTCTCTCGTTTGTTTCAGAAATACGTCAGCGAAGGGTCGACGGTGCGGGACTGCGTGCCGCACTGCGTGGAGAAAGGTGAGTGCGACATTGTGTGTCGTAAAAAAACAAAAAACAAAAAAGTAAACGGGCACGATCTATTCTCGCGGGGCCGTTCGCGCGTTCCTCGCGCGGTATCTGCGACACTAAATCCTCGCGGGTCCGCTCGTAAATTCCTCGGCGCCGCTCTCGGTCGCCCGATGGCCGGCGGTGTTCCGTGGCCAGCCGGTCCCATCGACGAAATTTACAGTGGATAAGAGCGGCGAGTCCTAAAAAATTTGTGAAACCGCGTGTTATCGGCTGCTTCGGCCCGATGTTTGTTATCCGAAAGGCGGTGGAGTAAACGCCGCAACCGCTGGACGGCGACATCCGGAACGTGGCGCCGGATGGGAGCCACGTAGGACCATCCCTCCTATCTCTCTCTATCTCTCTCTCTCGCCTCTTTTTCGGACGAAAATCGAGCGAGCCGCGTCATCGATTTCGGATTTCGTCGTGGCGTGCGGCCCGCATCGCATCGCGCGCTCTTTTTCCTATCCGCCGCTCGGGAGAGGATACGAGAGGACCTGTCAAGAGAGAGAGAGAGAGAGAGGAGAGGATAGAGAACGGAGTCGCGCGCGCTTTAAAGGTCCCACGGACGAGCGGGCGAGTGGCCGTGTTATCGGGCCGCGTCGTTTTATTGTTCCGCTGCGGATGAAGGCCTCATACTTTTCCTTTCCTCGCTCGCCGTACTTCTCCACCACCCTCGTCCTTCGACAGCGCCTCCCCGTATCTCCTTTCCCTACTACCCCCCCCCCTCCCCGCTAACCCCTTTTTGCCATATCGCGAAACGGTTGCGCCGCGATTAATCTTTGTCCGACGGCACGCTTCGCCGTTTTTCTACAACCCCTTCTTTTCATTTGTCGATATTAAACCTAGCTGAGAAAATTCCAAGTCCATGATTCTCTTAGGGATTATGGTTCTTCCTCAAGATTTATCGTTTGTTGTATGATATGTTGCGGAAATACGTTATTAACAGCTTGCGCTAGAATTCTTCGTCTTCGAGTTAAGCCGGGCAGGATCATCTGTCTTTTCGCGACTGTAATCGCAATTTGTGTAACGTAAATCCCGAGGTGAAAAGTCCCGCCGATGAGATTTGGGAACGTCGGGGACGTTGTCGTTGATGAGATCAAAATTGCCGAGTAACAAACTGGCTGTTTCAGAGGCCTGGAGCACGAGGACGTACTGCTGCCAGCAGGACGGCTGCAATTCCGGCCCGTCGTTGACAGCGTCGAGCAGCACGTACTTGGTCCTAGCGATCTCGCTGGCGGTCCTTATGGTGTGCCGAAGCCTTCGTGGCTAATACGTGCCGTACGGCAAGACGAGGGACCCGCGCTGCGGGCGTCACGCGGGACCGCATCCTCCACGAAACTTCAATCACAAAAAACTTGCACTTGGGGAGGGAGGTGGGTGGGGAACGTTGCATCTTGCACCTTAGACGTCTGCGCCCAACGACCGGGGCTCTCTACGTGCGGATATCACGGAGACGTCGATAGTCGTCCTTTGGTCCTTCAATCCTTTCGTCGGGAAGCCGAAACCTCACTTTTATCGTTTATAATCGAACATATCATCTCTCGCGACGATTGACGCGCGCTTTCTGCTTTCTGATGTCGGTTGCCGCGTTTAACCGAGATGAAATTGAAATTCGGGATAATCGGCGAATATGCTCCTTGGAAGAACGTTCTATTAATCTTATCACATTGACCGCGCGATAATCATTAGCTGATATAAATTTTAATTTTTAGAGAAACGAGAAAGCCTATTAGGCCCAAGCGATGTGTAGACCGTTTTTTTCCACCTCTGTACCGTGCGCCGGTTTCTTTTCGGACATGACACAGTTTCGCTTAGATGGGATCGCTTTAATTTTTACTTTTTGGTTTGCATCCGGCGCCGCTTAATTTAGAACCGGTCCTGAACACTTGTCAAGTAAATTTTATTTGTTCAAGGAGACGTGAAAAAATTTATAGGCAACGTACCCTAATAAACGTTACGTCACGACTGTTCCCAAGTTGCTCTCCGATTAAATGTCGCGTCTAACTGATTCCTACCCGTCGCCTTCCATCTCGCGCGACGGTACCCACGTCGTACAATCACGGCCGACTCAATTCAACGAGCGCTGAATGCACTTGCTAAACTCGACCGAGTTAAGTGACGCGGAGAAATCGGCTCGTTAAATCCGATGCGTTATCGCGCCAACTACCCCCCTTCGCTCGCTCTATTAAATTCGCACGCTTCCGCATACTTTTACGGATCGGCTACCAGCGACGGGAAAGTTTCCTCGATCGAATTTGATTGAAACTCTTCGCTTAGCGAGTCTCGAATTGGGATCTCGGCTGCGGCGGTTTGAGGCGACATTTCGCGCAAAATCATTTGTTATCACTGGCGAACTCGTTACGACATTTTCTTTTTTTACTATCCAGATGGCAACAAGGGGAGATCGTGCGCGGAAGTCTTCCAAAAATATCTGGCTTAATGCCCGGGAACTCGGGAGATACGTGTGTTCCGCACGCGATTTCCCGACAATGAAATAATCGGGACTGTAGCGGCGATATTTAACACTCGCGCAACACGCGACTCGAGGACGACAAAAGAGCCTGAAAATAGTCGCCACCATCATCATAGCACCGCTTTTATCCGCTTTCACGGTAGCTTTCACGGCGCGATCCGACTTTGCAGACGCACGTTTGCGCGAGACTTCCCTCGCATGATCAGCCTTTTTGCCGCTGCTTTACCAGACTGCGCTTTCGTTTCGTTTTCGTTTTTTTTACGGCAAAGTAGATTTTCCGTAGTTATCACGAACTAATCGGTCTGCAATCCGCAGAGCTGCGTTAAAAAAAGAAACGCTCTTATCGCGCGCGACTTACTTTTGAGAACTTCACGATTTTTAGTTAAAAGAATACTAAGAAAAAAGTAAGATTTAAAAAATATCTTCCCCGTGAAAAGGTCCGCCCTCCGATGGGAAAAGAAATCCGAACACATGAAAGGCGAGACGCCCTTGTACAATATATCGTTCTCCGCATCGCGATTTTTTTCTCCACCGAGCCCTCTCGCCGGTCATCTCTCCGTCGAAGGACGGCTCTGTCAGCCTCCGATGGCGAATTGAATTTATTCAAAAAGTTTCGGCGTCCCATTTTTCGTCGGGCGTTTTATCGACGCTTCTTCCGTCGCTTCTTCCGTCCACCCGCCGTTGCCCCGACCTCGCACATGCGAGTTTAATAACATCGGGACGACCGGAGGGCCGGCGGGCCGAAAAAACGACGAGCGAAGAGTGCAGGAGCCGATATAGGTATCAATATTTCGTACGAACGTCGCGCGCGATGTGTCCGAGCCTCGTGAATATTTCGGCGTGTCACGCGCGTTTCATTACATCGCGCCTTTCCAAGCCGCGCCGCGCGAGAACGCCCGCCCCGCAATTGTTGTATTGACCCATTAAAGCGCGGCTCTCTGAGATTTTACATAAAATTGCCGACGGAAATACAGTCGGTCCAACAAAAGGTTTGAGGACGTTGAAATGCCTGAAACACTTCCAACTAGCGAAAGTTAATCCCGTAAAATAAACGATTAATATTTGTACTAAAAAATCTCTAACTTCATATCTGATTCGTAGCACAGTGTTATTCATTAATGCCTGGACCTCGGTTTTGCTAGGATTCACATTTTCATAATCTTTATTCTCATCTGCACATCGATGAGTTCAGACTGTAGTTCACATATAGCGGATTCGGTTGCTTGCGCTAGCGCGCACTGAGTGCACACTAAGGCTCGTTTATAGTCAGTTCTTATATTTAACTTTGTCTTAAATACATGCTCAGAGTATTTAATCAAAAAATGATCCATGTAAACGTTGCACGGACCATTTTTCTGGATAAGAAATATTGCAAGAGGTATTTAAGATGATCTTTAAATATAAGAATTGACCGGAAACAAGGCTCAGTGTGCACTCAGTGCGCACTAGTGCAACCAACCGGATTCGCTGATAGATACAGCCTGAAACTTAATGATTAATACAGATGAGAAAAGTGATGATAAAAATGCAGGTCCAGGCATTAATGAATAAGACTGTACATTAAAAAAAAGTCGAAGGTTTGAAGAATGAAGCTGAAAGCAGTGTAGCGAGAAAAGCCGAGACAACTAAAGTTGCCGGTGCGCTTTAATGAGTTATTGATGCCCGAAGGTGTCAGAACGCCAATGTCGTTCGGGAACGTTGCTTTTTCATGGACATCTTTTTAAAACAGTTAAACTCTCGTGATCCTTTTTTGACGCCGTATTATCGATTGTATTGCGATCGTATCAATATGAAGCCCCGCGTTTTCTATTATGAAGAAAAATTCGCCACGATGATAAAAAAAGAAATTGACCTTTCGCGATCCCAGTTTTTGCCCTTTGTTCCTGCAAAGCCGATTATCGCTTGAATGATGAACTTTATTACATCAGAAAGGGGGAGAGCACGCGATAAGAAATTCAAACACCGTCCACGCGGATGTTTTGCCATTTCCTGCACATAAACGGTATTTTACAGAAGGCACAAGGAAGAGGCTCCGCGGATCTGGGGACATAAAGAATAAACTATCGGCAGTGATAAATTAGAAATTGGATTGCCTATCATAGAAAACGCATTAAAACGCTCCTCCGATAAGACGAACATTTGTCAGACGTTAATTCCTTTTCCTTGTACATTCTGGGACGTTTGTGACATTTTAAAAGAGTTAGATGATTTTTTGCACACCTAACGAGTATCAAACACATCTCTTCACAAGCCATTCGTGAGTCAGTTTTGTCTATTGTCTTTCAAACAGACACGATGGTGTATTGCGTACACGATTGAAATATCCCTAATCAAAATTTCAACCCGATTGAGTCAATTTTCACAAAGGGACGCGGTCCTGACACCCTGTTTCTTTGGGACGACTTGAGACGGACGTTTAACCGCTTATCGATTCGCAATGCGAGAGAGAG